CTGGGGAGGGGGGGTCTTCTGGCCCAATGCACAGTCAATCTGTGGATGTTAGCAAGCCACATCCCCAGAGCCATGGTCACCCAGCTGGTACACAGGGTCTGAGGATGCTGAACACAGGCGAGGAGGGTTTGTGGCCCACTGACACAGGCGAGGAGGGTTTGTGGCCCACGGACACAGGCGAGGAGGGTTTGTGGTCCATGCTGTGGCCTGCCAAGCGCTGGCGAGGGCCCTTCTGAGCTGCCTGAGCCTCTCCTGTGACTCCTGCCTGCTCTGTCTCAGGGCTCCTGGCGCCTGGGTCTGGCTTGCCCCGGGCTCTCTGGCTCCTGGATGGTGAGAGCCGGTGATCTGCAGCCAGGGCCTGGCACAAGGAGGTGCTGGGTAACAAACAGGGGCTGCCATTCTTACTAAGCTTTGAAAACCTGCAGTTGAACGTGGTGGCTCACTGGTTTGCGTTTATATTGATTTCGCTACAAGTGTTTGCACTTTGTTGTGTGTTTACTGGCAGGATGAATGAGTCTACACAGGAATGAATGAATGAATGAGTGCATGTGTGAACTGCCCCCTTTCCCCACCCTCTGACCTGATTCTCATCTGAGGCTGAAGGTGCTTTCCTGGCTGAAACCGTCCATTCCCTTAAAACCCTTCAGGACCCCTCACTGTCAGAATGCCCCACCTCCCACGGCCCGGCTCGCAAAGCTCAGACTAGACACTGCCCTTGCCGGGGGCTCCTGGGTCAGGTCCAGCAGGTGGAAACAGAAGCGCACGTCCCGACACACCTGTGAGAACCGCCCAAATCCAGAACACTGATACCACCACATGCTGGGGAGGACGTGGAGCAGCAGGAGCCACCACCATCGAGGCTTTGAATACTGAAGAGCGCGGCCACTTTGGAAGACTGCAGGGCAGTTCTCACAAGGCCAAACGTCCTCCCACCATGTGACCAGCAGCGGCCCTCCGGGGTGTTTCAGCACGAGTTGAAAACCTGTGTCCACCTGAGAACCTGCACATAGATGCTTACAGAGGCTTTATTCAGAAATGGATAAACTGAGGCACATCCAGACGATGGAACGGTATCTGGCCCGACAAGGAAACACACCATGACACCGTGACAAGACACCGAGGAACCCTAACTGCCTGTGGCTCATGGAACCAAGCCAGTCTTGAAAGGCTGCATGCTGTCTGATTCCAATGACACCACAGCCTGGGAACGGAGGAGGCCGGGAAAAGGCCCAGCGCTGCCTGGGGCGGGGGAGGAGTGGACAGGCAGGGCACAGGGTGCTCTTCAGGCAGCGGACGCTTCCGTCTGACACCAGGATCGTGGCTAAGGGACACTGTGCAAGAATGAACCCTGGGGTCAACGCTGGACTTCATAGCAACGTATCAATATTGGTTTATGAGCTGGAATGGATCACACCGAGTGACGGCAGATGTGAACGACCCGGGGCCGCAGGGAGAACTGCTCTGTGGGAACTCTGAGCAATTTTTCTGTTAAGCCCAACGTTGCTCTGAAAGAGAAAGTCTATTTTAAAAGGACAAATGATTGGGCTGGGTGCAGTGACTCAGGCCTGTAATCCCAGCACTCTAGGAGGCTGAGGAGGGCGGATCACCTGAGGTCAGGAGTTCGAGCCCAGCCTGACCTACACCTCTATTAAAAATACGGAATTAGCTGGGCGTGGTGGTGGGTGCCTGTAATCCCAGCTACTCAGGAGGCTGAGGCTGGGGTGTTGCTTGGACTAGGGAGACAGAGGTTGCAGTGAGTCTGCACTCCAGCCTGGGCCACAGAATGAGACTCTGCCCTGAAAAATAAAATATGAAATGAAGTAAAACGGCAGATTATTAGTTGCTTATCTGAACTTCCGATTTAACTGGACATCTGTATTTATCTGGCAACCTCAGCCCCAAGTAGACCACTGATCTCAGGAGGGGCAGCAGAGCGGAAGCCGCCCTGGCATTGGTGTTCTGTGGCAGGTGGGAAGCAGGAAGACGAGGGTCCCGCTGGCTGCCCAGCATCTCAGAGACCCCACACACCTAGGGGTAGATTTCTACACGCAGAAACTCCAAGCCTTCCACAGGATCCCATTAGCAGGTTATCAGAGAAGCGGGGTTGGCAGGAGTGGTGACGGGTCTGCTCCACTGAGGCGCCGGCAGGCAGGACCTCAGCTCCGGGCTTGACTCCCGCCCTCCAGCAGCCCCAGTGACCTGAGAAGCACCTACCCACAACATGCAGCTCGGCCTCTGGTCACCCTCCTCTCTGAATCCGCCACCCACAGCTTTGAACCCAACTTCCAGCCACGTGTCTAAGCACATTGCACAGTGTGGCCGCTGAAAAAGGCAGCCCAAGGACCCCGGCCCCGGGCCCCACTTCTCCACCTCCATCCTGTCCCTTCTTCCCTGCGGTCTGCTCCTTGGGCCTGGCCAAGGCCACCTGCTGCTGGGCAAAGGCCTGCCTGGTCACCAGCCTCCTGGGACCCTGCCACGGGCAGCCTGGAGTGTGTCCATTCCACACAGGCCTGGACGACAGTGGGGACAGCCGCCGCTACCCTCCCTGCCCACTCCATCCCAATTTTCACTCCACCCGCTTCTGTGCCTTCATGCTAGACAGATGCCCTGGAGTCACTTCCACTGCAAACCTCCCCGTCAGGCTGAAATCCAGCCCACCTGGCCCCGAACTTGGAGGGGCACATCGCCCTCTCTTCCTCCTCAGTCTCCACAGCTCAACCCCAGTGCCCTCCTGCAGCCCCCTCCCCACCTGCAGGCCAGGACCCACAGCCCCGCTTCTAGGGATCCCCTGACACACCTGCCTCGTGCTCTGAAGGACACTTAGGGCGCTGTGGGGTGTGGGAACAAGCCAGGCTTGGGGGTGATCCAGCTGCTAAAGAGATTCAGAAGGAGCCTGAATCCAACCACCACGGAAACCGGGTGAGCACAGAGAGGCCTGGGGACAGGGGAGGGAGGCTGCCACCCTCTCCTCCAGAAAGGTCGCAATAGCCCTCCTGGCCAGCAGAACCCAGGGAGAGGAGTGAGGACTGGCCCCTGGACATGGGTCCCTGTAGAGAGGGCCTTGCCAGAGGCTGGAGGGGGCTGGCCAGGAGGGTGGAGAGGGGAGTGGGCAAACAGCAAGGCCTGGAGAGGATGCGGATGCCTGGCTGGGGCGCTGGGGGTGGGAAGTGTGGCGGGTGTGGGGGCTGCCCACTGGGCTGGCCAGAAGGTAGAGGGGAGGGTCCCTGGAGTTCCAGACTCCCAGGGAAAAACAGCCAGATGGAGAGAGGAGCTTTGCACCCCAAACCCAGGGACCTACCCTCCCCAGCACTACAGCCGGTTCTCCACCCCCTTCAGGGCAGCTGCACGGGCAGCGGTGCCCACCAGGCAGGCCTGGAGCTGCCAAAGGGGAGGAGCACGGGTGTGGGGGTGGCAGGGCACGGGTGTGGGGGGCAGGCACGGGTGTGGGGGGCAGGGGGACGGGTGTGGGGGGCAGGAGGACGGGTGTGGGGGGCAGGGCACGGTTGTGGGGGGCAGGGGGACGGGTGTGGGGGGCAGGAGGACGGGTGTGGGGGGCAGGCACGGGTGTGGGGCGCAGAGGGACGGGTGTGGGGGGCAGGCACGGGTGTGGGGAGCAGGGCACGGGTGTGGGGGGCAGGCACGGGTGTGGGGCGCAGGGGGACGGGTGTGGGGGGCAGGGGGACGGGTGTGGGGGGCAGGGGGACGGGTGTGGGGGGCAGGCACGGGTGTGGGGGGCAGGAGGACGGGTGTGGGGGGCAGGCACGGGTGTGGGGCGCAGAGGGACGGGTGTGGGGGGCAGGCACGGGTGTGGGGGGCAGCGCACGGGTGTGGGGCGCAGAGGGACGGGTGTGGGGGGCAGGCACGGGTGTGGGGGGCAGGGGGACGGGTGTGGGGGGCAGGGGGACGGGTGTGGGGCGCAGGGGGATGGGTGTGGGGGGCAGGCATGGGTGTGGGGCGCAGAGGGACGGGTGTGGGGGGCAGGCACGGGTGTGGGGCGCAGAGGGACGGGTGTGGGGGGCAGGCACGGGTGTGGGGGGCAGCGCACGGGTGTGGGGCGCAGAGGGACGGGTGTGGGGGGCAGGCACGGGTGTGGGGGGCAGGCACGGGTGTGGGGGGCAGGGGGACGGGTGTGGGGGGCAGGCACGGGTGTGGGGGGCAGGCACGGGTGTGGGAGGCGCCCGCGGGCCGGGGTCCTGGGAGGCTGGGCCGACAGGACGGAAAGAGTGCGAGGGCGGCGGAGGCCTCCGGGGCTGGGGAGGGTGGGGGCGTGGGCGGGGCGCGAGCCGCGGAGGCGCCGGCCGGGGCTTCAGGCTGTGGGGGCGGGAGGGGGAGGGTGGGCCCCGGCTCCGCGTCCTGTGGAGCCTGCGGCGCGGGGAGTGGGGGTCGGGGCGGGGTGCGGGGTGCGGGGTGCGGCGCGGGGTGGAACGAGGGGTGCGGGGGGCAGGGAGGAGGAGCAGGCGGCGCGGGCGGGGCGGGGCGGGCGCGGGGCTGGGGGCGGCGCGGGCGGCTGGTGCGGGCGCTGCGGGGCGTGCGGGGCGGGCGGCGCGGCCTCCGGAAGCGAGGGGGCGCTGTGCCAGGCGGCGGCTGTGCGGGGCGGGCGCGCTGCTCCTTCCGCCTCGCGAACCCCGGAAGCGCGCACGGCCGCCATGGCACGGAACGTGCTGTGAGTAGGGGTCGTGGCCCCCCCGCCGCGGGGCGCCCCTCAGTGTCACAAGCAGATGGACCCCACAGGGCGCGCGGGCTCCAGGGAGCGGGGTGGGCGTCCCTGGGCCTCCTCCTGGCCCTGGCGCGGCAGGGTCCCCCGAGAGTCCCCTCGTGGCTTGGGGCACGCGAGGCGGGTGGCCGAGGAGGCCCCGGGGAGCGGGCGTGGCCAGCCCGGGTACTAAGGGTCCGAGCCGAAGCGCGGAGGTCGCGGTGTCCCCGCGGGGGGACGGGGAGGGTGGCCCGGGGTGGCTGCAGTGTCCAGGCGGGGAGGCCTGAGGCGCAGGACCTGGGAGTCCAGATGGAGTCTAAGTGGGAAGCAGCCGCTGACCTCAGCCCGCACGGCTGGAGACCCGGTTCTGCTCAGCCCAGGCCTCCCTGCCCGCTCTGCATCTTTCCTGGATTCTGGGGGGTGGAGGGGGCATCGGGGCGCTGTCCTGCCCCACTTTGCCCTCCCCTGTGGAAGCAGGAAACCCTACGTGTTTCTTGGTGAACGAATGGCTCAGGCGTAATCAATAGATGTGGGTGATTTCGCAGAACAGGAATCAGCGTTTTTGCAGAGAGACGGTCAAGCGGCCCTGCTGTCGCTCTGGGGGGCCCCCGCACATAGCTGGGGAGAGAGGGGAGGGTGGCAGGTGGGATCCCGAGTGGACGAGGCTGCCTTCAGCAGACATCTGGGACCCGTGTTGCACGTGGCCCTGACCTTGGGGAGCACCCAGCGCCAAGGAAGAGAGGGTCTCAGTGACAACAGTGCTGCCCTGAGCCTCACGTGAATTCCACGCTGCTGCTTCGCCTGTCAGGAGAATGAGGAGGAAGTGAGGGTCAGATGACCCGGGTGGGGTGTTTCTGAAGGGCCAAGGGTGGTGGGCTGCTGGAAACTGGAGTGAGGTGTGGCTGCCCTGGAGGCAGCGGGGGCTGTGCACGACTCTCCTGTTGCCAGAGAGGCCTTGGAGGGAGCGCTGACTTGACTTGCTGTGGATGGGATGCAGCTGGGGTGGGGGTGCTGAGAGGGTGGGATCCTGGCTGCGTCACCCGTGGGGCCGTGGGGAGGCAGGCTGGTGGCGGGGAGCCAGCTTTTTGTGTTTTGAGGAAGAACTGAGTGCAGAGTTCTACTCGAAAAGGTTACAGTGGAGGTGCTTGTGAAATAGCATGGGGAGGGCTGGGTGCTCCCAGGTGAGTGGGACAGAGGGAACTGAGGGCTGCTGGGCCCACAAGGGTGTCAGTCCTCCAGAGCGCCCCTGGAGCCCTGTCCTGGGCCCAGGGTGTCGGCAGTGTGGATTGTTCCAGATCTGCAGGCCCCACATGCAGACAGCCTGGGCTCTGGCCTGGAGTTCCCTTTGCCTGTGGGAACGAGGACAGTGAATAGTCACCGCCCAACCCCTGCTGGCCTCTCGCCTCAGGCCCTTCAGACCCTTAGTGAAGTGTGCCCTTCAGGCCTCAAGCCTGGAAGCTCAAAAATGAATGCCCTCGGAGCTGATGTACCCCTTTTCCCACTGTTTACTGGGAGTCCTCAGGCTTTCCACCCACCTGCAATCCCACAGCTAGTCACCAGAGGGAATGTGTGAGCCCCTGGGGTGGCCATGGATAGCCTGAACCTGTGGGTAAAACGAGTCAGGCCCCTCCACTCCCAGAGCCCACCCCTGAAGGCAGCGCTCCGAGGCTTGGAAGGCCCAGGCCATGCCCAAGACGAGGCTGTGCTGGGGTTCGGGGAGTGAAGACTCAGCCCCACTGGCCAGCCACCAGGCTGCCATGTGTCAGTGTAGCCATCAGGAGGCCCGGGGTGGATATTGTTAGCGATTTGGTTTTGCTATACTCGCTTTGCCTTTGAGAGTCCCCAGCAGCTCCTGGCCCCTGCCAGGCCCCAGGCCCAGAGGCTCAGCCCTGCCCACCACTGTTGGCCCTTCAGGAACACTGCACCCAAGGCCTCTGACCCTCACTTCCTCCTCATCCTCCCTAAACAAGCAGAGGCCAGCATCGGCCTCATGGAGCCCTCTGTAACTTGATGCTGGGTGCTCCCCAAGGTCAGGGCCACGTGTAGTGCCTTAGATTGGTCACCAGAGACCCTAAACAGCCCCCTTGTTCCCTCTCCACCAAGACCTGCACCTGGGCTCTCAGACCTGCATCTCCAGAGACCCTGCAGACCCCAGTTTCTCCTGTGCCCCTCCTCTCCCCAGCTCTGAGGCCCAGATCGAGCCGGGGTGTGCCAGCAGTGGCAAGGGGGGTGAGGGCGGGGATGGTGCTGCCTGTCTGCCCAGCTGGACTTGGGAGAATGCACGAGACCACGTGGCTAGAGATTCTTCATGATTGTCACCTGGCCCACCAGCCCGGGAGGCGTGCTGGTCTAGTTTGCAGTGGCCACGTGGCACCTCTCCAACTGCCTCCGCTGGCTTTTATCAGGATGGTGGGGTGGGATGCCATTGGCTCGTATGTAGCGAACTGAATCAAAGCCTGTTGGCAACGCCATGTCCCAGGGGCCCGAGCCTGATTAGCCTGTGCGCTCCGTTCCTGAGGAGCTGGGGCCTGCCGCCGCCGGAGCGTGCGGAGCTGGCTTCCTGCCCCACGGCTGGTCCTCTCCACTCCGCCTCACCTGCAACAGGAGGGTGGGCCGGCTGTGTGGGGGCTGCTCTCCCAGGGGTACCAGGGCCCTGACGCACATCTTTGAGCCTTCCAGTAGCTTGTTCTGGGGGATGCTGGCTGCCAGCTTCTGATTCTTGACTTGTTCATTGGCCCTTTCTAAAGTCTGGCCTTGGGTGTCAACAGCCCATGCTTCCTGAGTTGATGCTGGGGACTGGCCGTCTCCCTGGGTGGGCCCATGTGGGAAAGGGGCTGTGAGGACCTCTGTGTCATTGGGTGGTGATCTGCAGACAGCCACCCCCTTTGCTGCCCATTTCTGCTGTGGGTGGACACGGGGGTGTCTACAGGGTTCGTCTCTGAGGCTGCCATGGCCTACGTGTATGACATGGACCCAATCTCTTCTGTACAGGTACCCCCTGTACCAGTTGGGTGGCCCACAACTCCGAGTGTTTCGAACCAACTTCTTCATTCAGCTGGTGCGGCCTGGCACGGCCCAGCCCGAGGACACCGTGCAGTTCCGGATCCCCATGGAGTAGGCCTGGGAGGGTTCCGGCTGGGTTAGGACCATGCTCTGGGTTGGGGGGTGCAGGGCCTAAGTTAAACAGCCCGCTCATGTGCTCACCCTGCTGCGCAGGCGCCTGGGGTGGCCCTGTCCAGCCAGTGTTGATAGTGCCCACAGCTGCAGAGCCCGGCAGGCACGTACACCCACCCTCTGCCTGGGGAGGGCTTCACTGGAAACCTTAAAGATGGACCTCTGTGCTCGTGCCTTCTGTTGAGTTCTTGCAACATCTTTTCAGGAAGGGTGCCCTGGGAGGCTGGGAGGGGAGCAGTCTGTGACGTGCAGAACCCCTCAGAAGAGCTTCCTTGACTTTGGAAGAAATGGCACAGTCCCTACCACTGAAGCTGGGGTGCTGCTCTGAAGTGCTTAAGATCACAGGTCCCCAGCTCAGGGTCGAGGCGAGCCAGGAGGGGGGCAGGAGTGTGAGCTCCCCTGGGGGCAGAGGGCAGGACTGTGCGGCCCGCAGAGGCCCAGAGCTAAGTTGACAGTGCCCACAGGGTTCTCCAGTAGAGGAAATGTGCAGTTCACCCACTGAATTCCAGGCAGGCCTTTCCAGAAGGTGCTTCCTTCCTAGAACGGCAGAGTACCGTCCACCGCAGAGCAGGCCCAACCCTGACGCTGCCGAAGGGCCCCAGGGCAGATGAGGTGGGGTGCCTGGCAGCCAGGGGCGTGCAGAGACTGTCACCTCCTCTCACAGGCCCTTGCCTGAAGCAGGGAGCCGTGTGGGCTGTGGAGCAGGCCAGGGGATGGTGGGGCAGTGCTTCTCCCTGGGGTCTGTGCTGCTGCCACCCCGAGCTGGTGTGCCTGGAGCAGGGAGCCTTGCGGCCAGCAGCACTGGTGTTGCTGGGGCTGCCTGTCCCTGCTGGTGCCGCCAGTGCCCCCAGCCCTCCTCCCTGCAGCTGTGGGCCTTGGTCTGTCCACCTCTCACCTTTGGGAGCTTGTCTGGGACAGTGCTTGCAGCTTAGCCTGGTTCAGACACCCTTTTCTTTCTCCTTCGCCTCCAGAATGACAAGGGTGGACCTCAGGAATTACCTTGAGCGCATCTACAACGTGCCCGTGGCTGCCGTGCGGACTCGGGTGCAGCACGGTGAGTGGCTGCCCATGCCACACACCCACATCGCCATGCCGTGGCCTCAGCCACTCCGTGGGGGTCTTGGTCTGAGTTGGCTCGTGGGAAACTAAGGCACAGGGTGACTTAGGGTCATGCGGTGCTTACATGGCAGAGCGGGGATTGGAATTCACCTGCGCTGGCCCGGGGTCTGGTCTACAGTGGCCAAGGCTGGGCAGCTCTCTATTCCATCAGCGCCTGTGCTGTGCCCTGGCTGGCGATACAGCCCCTCCTGTGTGGAGATGGGATGGACCCAAGATCCCCTCCTGTGTGGAGAGCCTGCTGGCCCTGGTGGGAGATGGGACAGACCCGAGCCCCTCCTGTGTGGAGAGCCTGCTGGCCCTGGTGGGAGATGGGACAGACCCAAGCCCCTCCTGTGTGGAGAGCCTGCTGGCCCTGGTGGGATATGGGACAGACCCGAGCCCCTCCTGTGTGGAGAGCCTGCTGGCCCTGGTGGGAGATGGGACAGACCCGAGCCCCTCCTGTGTGGAGTGCCTGCTGGCCCTGGTGGGAGATGGGACAGACCCGAGCCCCTCCTGTGTGGAGAGCCTGCTGGCCCTGGTGGGATATGGGACAGACCCGAGCCCCTCCTGTGTGGAGAGCCTGCTGGCCCTGGTGGGAGATGGGACAGACCCGAGCCCCTCCTGTGTGGAGAGCCTGCTGGCCCTGGTGGGAGATGGGACAGACCCGAGCCCCTCCTGTGTGGAGAGCCTGCTGGCCCTGGTGGGAGATGGGACGGACCCAAGAGCCCCTCCTGTGTGGAGAGCCTGCTGGCCCTGGTGGGAGATGGGACGGACCCAAGAGCCCCTCCTGTGTGGAGAGCCTGCTGGCCCTGGTGGGAGATGGGACGGACCCAAGAGCCCCTCCTGTGTGGAGAGCCTGCTGGCCCTGGTGGGAGATGGGACAGACCCGAGAGGCGGCTGTGCTGGCTCATTTGATTTCAGTGCCTGTTGCCCTGAGAAATTGCCTTTGTGAGTTTTTAAGGACACATTTGCATTTTTAAGAGAGCAGAGATCGTTTTAGTGGCACTGGCCTCTGAGGTTGTACTTTTTTAAAGTTCTGATTTTTTGTAACTCACTTCCGGCAGGCTCCAACAAGAAAAGAGACCACAGAAACGTGAGGGTAAAGAAGCCGGACTACAAGGTCGCCTACGTGCAGCTGGTACGTGCGAGCGGGCCGCCCCCGCTGGGCCTCCCAGGGGCTCCTTGCGACTGTGTCCTTGGGGGTGTTTTTGTGCTGCAGACACACAAACACAGGGGCCCAGGGAGCCCCTGCTAGGCCAGATCTCAGGGCCGCAGTGCAGAGGCAGGCTCCCCGTGAGGTCATGTTTCCTCATGGCCTTGAGGTGTCCGCGGTGGTGCAGGGGCACATGAGTGCTGGGACGGGTGGGGCATGTCTCAGCCTCCAGCCATTTTGTGATTTTGGAGTTTAGTACTCTCTGGACAAAGGTAGCCATCTCAGGCCTGGTGGGTTTTGGCTCCGACACAGACTGGGGCGTCTGAGTATGGGAGGCCCCCAGCCCCTGGAGAGCCTGTCCTTGGCCGGGTTGCAGACTCGGAGGCAGAGTCTGAGGCCCCTGAGGGCAAAGGTCTTTGGTGCCCAGGCGGGTCTGGTGGGCCGGGGTCGTGGCTGAGGATTGCAGGGAAGGCTGCTTCTGAGCAGGGGCTGTCTTGTGTATCCTGGCCGGGGCTCTGGGGAAGGAAGAAGGACCCCTCACCCCATGCTGCCTGGGCCTTTCATTTCTGAAACCCACACTTGTCAAGAGTGAGACCCGCAGTTTCAGAGCCTTTTTTCGGGCCCTTCACTTTGAGTTCCAGGCAAAGGCAGAGGCGCTTTCTCTCTCGGCCAAGATGTGGACAGTCAGCACAGGACACCTCCGGGGCCTCTCCCCTCTGCGCCCCGGGCTGGCCTGACCGGGTGGGGATGGGGTTGTCTTCCGGTGACGGTCCCTGGAGGCTGAGCCGGCGGCCCCTGCCGCTAGATGGCAGTCATGCTATTGTGAAACCACCTCCCGCCAGCCCGCCTGTTTTGGGGCTGAGGAGGCACTTTGTGAAGAAGCCAAGTTAGCGTGGCAGCTTTTCTGAAAAACAGTCACATTTGTTGTTCTAAACAGAGGCCCCTGGAATGATTTGGCCTAATATTTGCTGTGCATGAAATTAGCCAGTCCAGGTGAGGAGAGCAGCCGCTGGGCTCATAAAGGCCTCTGTGTGCCCTGTGCGCCCCGTGCCTGTCGGGCCCATCTGTCTTTGTCATGGCATGTGGGTGGACATCCCATGTGCCGGCCTCGCCACGGGCACTTCAGAGGCAGCTACAGTTACAAGTGGCATTCGAGTCATCCGAGCCCTTGCATGCTTCCTCTGGGCCCCACCTCCCACGAAAACTGAACCCAGCAGCCCCGGGATCCAGTGTCTGCAGCTGCTGCCTGCGTGCCGTTCTCCCTCGGTAAAGTCCAGGCAGCTGGGAGCCTGGAGGGTCCCTGCCGGGCACAGGTCCTCCTGTTCCAGAACTAAAATTTGTAATGGGTCCTCACCCCCCCCCCCCCGCCCCAGCCTCAGCAGATCTTCACACAGCCTAGAAATGGGCCATGGCCGTGGGTCCCTGTCCCCGCCAAGGGGACTCACAAGGACCTTTCCCGCGTTGTGTCTGCTGAAACCTGCTCGGCGTGTCCCCCTGGGCCCTGCGCCAGGGCTTAGCCACTGCTAATTGCACTGCCCAGGGACGGAGCATTGGAAAGGTGAAATGATCCAGCTCATCTGGAGCTGCTGGCTGTGGACAGGCCCTGTCCCACTGGTGGAAGCCCCACATTTTTTTCTCTGTCAACCTGATAAGCATCTCCTTGGCCCAAAGTCCTGGGAGCCATAACCAGCTCTTAGTGACCCTCACAACAAAAAGAGCATTGACTGCCCGCCGCCCGAGGCTTGTGTGGACACAGCAACCCTGGAATGAAGGGTGCAGGACATGAGAGGCGGCCGCCGGCTGGGCCGAGCTGTGGGCTCCGGTGGGCAGCGGCCCCCAGGGCGCCCTGGGATTCCTGAAGGCAGGGCGGCCTTGTCCTCTTGTCATTAGGACATTTTTCTCCATTCCTGTTATTTACTCCTGATCGGCTCTCTCTCTCTTCTTTGGAAAGATCAAGGGCTTTTTTTTTTGTAAGTACAAGGTGACTCTCTCTAGAAAAGGGGAATCCCCTGGGAAACCGCGCTTGGCATCCACAGTCGGCATTTGCCTCCTGTGAGAAATGGATTTTCTCTCCCCAGCTTCCCCTGTGTTTTCCCGAAACTGACAAACGGCCATGTTTGTGTTTTGAGCGGTCATTTTGGATGCTCCTTGCCTCAGAAAACTAGCAGAGCCGCCTCTATATATTAAAGGCAAACCCCCCATTCTGGGCAGTCAGCCTCACATGTAAAAGATTGCACCTTGGTATTTTAAAAAACGAACAGCTCAGAGCCGGCCTCTGTGCAGTCCTCCTGCAGGCCGGTCACCGTGCGTAGTGCCGTGCTCCCAGCTGCCCGCACGCTCTTGCTGGGGGTCAGGGCGCACACACCTCCCCACAGGGTGGAACTGGGGGTCAGGGCGCGCACACCTCCCCGCGGGGTGGAACTGGGGGTCAGGGCGCACACACCTCCCCGCAGGGTGGAACTGGGGGTCAGGGCGCGCACACCTCCCCGCGGGGTGGAACTGGGGGTCAGGGCGCACACACCTCCCCGCAGGGTGGAACTGGGGGTCAGGGCGCGCACACCTCCCCGCGGGGTGGAACTGGGGGTCAGGGCGCGCACACCTCCCCGCGGGGTGGAACTGGGGGTCAGGGCGCGCACACCTCCCCGCGGGGTGGAACTGGGGGCCTGTTTCAGATCATACCTGGCGGCCTACCCACCTCCAGATTTATTTACACAAGGGTCTGCCAGAGCCAGGTGCACTCGACTGATTTCACTCACTAAGGGGTTCCAGACTCAACGGCTATTCTCACTCCTCTTCTACCTGTCTGGAAACAGAAGGACATCTGCCCTCAGAAGTCCTGGCCCTCTCCCCTCCCTCCCTTCCCTCCTCTCCCTCTCCTCCCTCTCCTCTGCCTCTTCCCTCTCCTCTGCTCTCTCCGCCTCTCGCCTCTTATCTTTGGAGCTACTTAGTAATTGTTACAAGTTAAAACGGCCCCTCATATTTGCTTAGGTCCCCAAAGAGCAGTATCCCCTCTTCTGGTGCCCCCCAGCCACGTGCTGCGGCCTGGGCTGGGGCTTGGCTGATGCAGACACATTCTGAACTCTCAGTGAAAGATGTGGGACCAGTTAATTGGCAGAGCCTGTTCTGGTTTATCGGCTGCTGTACGTGTATGTTTCTTCATACGTGATGTTCATTTCTCGTATTTGCCAGGCTCTGGGCTGGGAGGAGAGGAAGCTTTAATGTGGGTAGAGCCTGAGGCATTTTGGACCAACAGGTTCAGCGTGGTACCAGACGTGATTTGTGACATGTCTTTCTGTGCCTTGTGCCTGCCCCCAGTCCAGCCAGGTGGCCCCGGGCTGGTGAATGGGTGCACCCAGGGCAGGGGCAGACAGCAGGAGCTAAAGAGACAGTGGTCAGGAAAGAGACCCTGTCCAGGACCTGCGCCCCCGCCCCGCCCCCCGCTGCTGCCTGACAGCCAGGACGGTGGCAGTGGGGCTGCTTACTTTCCAGTCAGGGACGCTGCCCCAGGAGGCCCGGGGAGGTACCACTGAACTGCTGAATCAGGTGCCCGTGGAAAGGGGCGGCCAGAGAGCAGAGACTCCCCCCACACCCCTGTGCGGAGCAGTCTTCGCAGCTCTGGCTGGAGCCTTTGTTCTCTTCCTTAGGCCCACGGACAGACCTTCACATTCCCGGATTTGTTTCCCGAGAAAGAGCAGAGCTCGGAAGGCCGTGCTGCCGACGACCTCCAGAACATTCTCCAGGAGAACATGGAGCGGAGGCAGAGCAGCGACCCTCGGCGGGGCGGCGTCCCAGACTGGTTTGGGCTGTGATGGGGTGGGCAGCAGGGACATGCCCCATGTGGGCACCACAGCAGAGCCGTCCCAACACCTCAGTAAAAGCCCTGCTGCAGAAGAAAGCCGGAAGCTCTGTTTCCTTCTGCTCTCAGGTCTCTGGGTGCCAGGCACACAGCAGCCACCCCCCAGCTCTGAGCGCCACATGGCCCAGCTCTGCTCTCTCGGGTCCGGCAGTGGGCCGTGGCTGGGGTCTGGTCTCTGCGTTGGCAGGGAACTGAGGGTGGGTAGGCTTGAGACAAGGTGGCCCCATGCTGGGGAGATGGGTTGGCTAGAGAGAGAGGGTGGCACACAGGCTTGGCGCTGCCTGCCAGGTGGGGAATGAGACATGGGTGAAACGACCCAGAATCTGAGCGCCACATTCACAGCTTGAGCCCAGAGTTGTAGGGAGGAATGGAGGGGTCAGTGTGAGCACATGGAGGGGACGCCAGGTGAGAGAACGGCCCGGCCTAGGCAGACGTTGGCCAGCAGCCCTCGGGGCCTGGAGAGAACCGGGGCCCACCTGTGGGTTTTGGTATGACATGGCGGCAGCAAGGACCTGAGAAGGGCCGGGGAGGATCCGAGGGCAGCAGGGTCTCAGGAGAGCTGTGGCAGGAGACGCGACGCCCAGTCTGGAGGCCTAGAGCCTGGGGCTGGGCCTGGAAGACCGGAGAGACACGGGCTGGAAAGGTGGTTAGAGCAGGGGGCCACGTGTGGCCAGCAGTCATGGCAAAACAGTTCTGTGGGCTTCTTGGCCCTGGGGTGGAGCGGGCTGGGAGACGAGAGGGTGGGCTCGAGTGTCCCATACGAGGTGGCAAGTGGCCTTGCAGTGTCTGGGTGGATGCCGGGGTCCAGACCCACATTCTGCTGGCCCAGGGCAGGTCAGGACGCGCAGCCTCTGCCCCTGATTCTTGTCTAAAGGGTTTTACGTGGAAGCCTGTGGCCCTGCCAGAGGCCCTGTGCTGCCTCTCCTGGCCTGGCCTGGCCTGTGGGAGCAAGGGGGTTGCCCGACAGCCGTTTTCGGGGCGTGGACCTGGCAGACTGGCGTGGGTTCCCGTTGCAGCAGAGCTGGGCAGGCCGGCCGGGGCGGCCTCGGCCTGAGCCGGATACAAGTTTGAGTTTTGGTTCCCAGCTCCTCTTCTCAGAACCCTGGCATCTGGTCAGGCCCAGGGCCTCCATGCACAGCTGCTGCCTCCTCAGGATGGGTTCCAGAAGCCTGGGGGTGCCTCTGTTTCTCTTATCCAGTCCTTGGTTCCAGTGCTTCCCTAGAAACCCCAACATGGAGGCTGGAGTGAGGCCCCTCTCCGCTGTGTGCAGGCAGCTCCGGCTTTGGGGTTGGGAATCAAGGCCAGGGTCGGTGCTTAGGAAGCCATCTGCACTCCACCTTGTCCAGGACGGAGCTGCACTCGGGCGTCTGGGGGAAAGCCACCGGCCACGGCCTTGTTCCCACAATGAGGTTTGCTGTGAAAAGCCTTCCCTTCGGAATGCTCAGGAGGACACAGGTGCCACGTGGTCTCGGGACCAGCAGCCTCTGGCTTCAGGTTGTGGAACGCGGATCAGCAACGTGGGCCGGCTGTGGTCTGAGTGAGGGTCCTGGCTTTTCCTTCTGCTTGGGCAGCCTCCGAGGGGCTTGCAAGAGGAGATGGCGTGGCAGCTGGCTCACCTCCCCTCCCCCAGCCCGGAGTGCAGGCAGGAGGGGCTGTGGCGGGGCCGCCCTTGGCTGGGGGTTGAAGGCCCGGGCAAGCTCACCCTTCAGTGTTGATTTAAAGGGATGGGGAAGGTCAGGAAGTGGAGCCGGAGAAATGGAGTCGACTGTATTTTCCTTAGAGAAATAATTCATGGGGCTGAGAGCTCAGAGGATCCTAACTCATGGCAGGGGAAGAGGAATCCCATCCTTCATCCGTGGCACGTCCAGCCCTGCACATGGGGGCCCTGAGCAGCCCTGCTGGCGGCCAGCGCGCCAGGCACACTCCATCACGGCCGCCACCCCCAGACGCAGCCCTAACTCCGGCTCCAGCCACCCAGGCCTCCAGACCCTCCTCCCGCCCCTGTCACCCGGCCTGTGCTGTCCCCTGGCAGCCCCCGTTGTCTCCCACAGGCCTCCCTGCCAGGAGAAAGGGGCTGGGGAACTATTGCACACCAATTTCCACAGCACACCGGGGGCTCCCTCACCCCCAGTCCTTACCGGGTACCCAGCTACATGGCGGCCCACTGACCCCGGAGCCTTAGGGAGATTAGAGATGTAGGGGTCTGCCAAATACATGGCCTGGCCCAGTCCCAGGGAGTGCCCAGATTGGGGCAAGACCAAAACTGGAGGGGGAACATGGCGGTGAGGCTGGTCGCATTCCTTGAAGAATGGAGGATGGGGATGGGTGTGTGGCTGTCCAGTGTGAGACAGGGCTGCCAATCCTCCGGGGGTAATTCACACGAAACGCCGCTTTCTGGGTCGTTCACTTGACCAGTGGTTTCTAGTGTGAGCCAGGTGTGAGCACCAAAGCCCCCAGGTATCTGTCCCAGCCACGCGGTATGCCCTCATCAGGTCACTGGAGAGGCTCCCCGAAGCATCCACACCCGCCTCGCATGCCTACTGCAGAGGGGTGAGGAACAGGCCGGGGCGGGAGGGCGGACTGCCCTACTCAGGGTCTGGAAGGCTTGGCCTCTCTCCAGGAGCCCTGCTGGCCGCTCCCATGGAGTTCAGCTGGGAGCGCCCACAGGAAGGGCCCCTGGTGGGGCAGGATGATCAGGGTTCAGGATGTGGGCCTCAGCCAGGGGTCTGCTCCCACCACCCAGGCACACTAGGAGCCCAGAGAAGGGGCTGGCTGGACCCACCAGCTCTCATGACCAGAGGCTCAGGGAGGGAGGGAGCTGCACCTGGGCAGGTCTGTCTCTTCCCCTGCACAAGGGCACCTCTGTGGTGACTTGCGTGCTAACACAGGCTCTTTCATGCATGGGGACCAGAGAGGGTGTCATGGTCCCCCTGGCCTGGGCGTCAACCTCACCACCCCCATATCTGGGCAAGACCCTCGTCCAACCCAAACAGGCTGCTCCTGCAGAAGGAACTCTCGGAAAGATTAATCTCCCAAGGCTGACAAGACCACTCCCACTTGTGTCTGGACATACTCAGCATGGCAGGGGCAGGAGAGGGACCCTGACCCAAGAGATAGCAAGTGGGCCTGCGGCTGTGCCTCAGTTGCCCCTAATGTGACAGCCCCACCCCTTATGGGTATCTCCAGTTGGGAGCAGCCAGAGACAAAGTCAGCGGGACGAGGGGAGAGTCAGCAGACAGAACTGTGCCCCCATTTGTGTTCGTCTGTTGCTGTGGGGGGGGGGTAGGCGAGGTCCAGGCGGTGCCACACCGAGTGCCTGGGCGGGGGGAGGGGCCCTCAGGCTGCACCGTGCTGTGCTCACAGCTGGCTGGTCCCATGCCTCTGTGCTGATGAGTCACAGCCACCGTGGGCCCGGCTCCTCTGCCCACAGGAGCGCCTGCCCCGGCAGCTCCAGGTAAGAGCCACGCCCCCGGAATGGAGCAGAACATGAAGCAGAACCACCACTCCCGCCCCCCCCCCACCACCCTCCCTCCTGTGAGCATCTGTTTCTCCTCTTCGGGAATTGCTTGTGCTTCTGGGGCGGTTTGAGGGTGTCCCATCTCGAAATGGCCTCACTTCTGCACCTGGCTGCAGATGAGCAGCCATGCAGGCGCTGGGGCAGGAGCAGGCTTTTCCTTTCCCAGGCCCCCCAGGTTCCTCCTCTGCCCTTCCTGCCCCCACCCGCCTCCGGGGGCCCCTCCACCTCCAGCGAGCCAACACACGCCTCTGCAGCCTGGAGCCTGCAGTCGCGATCATGGTTGCCTGTCTGCACTGAGGGTTCCCGTCTTCTGGCCTCCAGCAGGGGATGCAGGCCTAGCACACAGCGGTTCCTCCTGGTCCGCTCCAGGGCTTAGAGTGAGGACAGGCTGGGGAAGGCCAGCTCCTTGAAGCCAGCTATAGTGGTGGCCATTTTGGGGCTCTCCTCCCACCTCCCACCTCCCACCTTTCATGCAACTGTCAACTGTATTAGCTGAGTGAACGAGTGAGTGAGTGAGTGACCGGCCGATTCAGGAAGTCGGCTCGGCCAGATGGGAAAGCCGGCCTGCCGTCCTCCTTCCTCTGGGTTTGATGGGTGCTCCTGGCCAGGGCCTGGCTGAGTCTGGGTGGGTGGCATCCCTCCCTGCCCATGGTGGGTCCCCTAGAGCAGGCGGCCTGTGGCTGCAGTGATCTGAGACAGTGCAGGCCTTGGGGTGTACTTCTCTATTTTTAAAAACAGCTTTATTGAGATGAAGTTCACACACCCCACCATCTACCCATTCAGTGGCTTCTGGAATAATCCCAGAGGTCTGTAGCCCCGCTGGAACATTTTCATCGCCCAGAAAGCAACCTGCCAGCTCCCCGCCTGCCCCACCCCCAGCTGGGGCTCGCAGCTCCCGCGCTCCCTTCTGCCCCTGGCTACGCCTGGTCTGCTTTCGATGGGCCTCTTCTGGATGTTTCCTGAGTGAACCACCCCAGGGTCTATGTGGCTTTTCGTGCCTGGCTTATTTCACTTGGCGTGGCATCCTGGGGGCACACCCGTTGCCGCCCGCGCCGGGATCTCCTTCCCTCTGTGGCTGAGTTGTGCTTCCCTATGTGGACAGGCCCTGTGTTCGTCCACCGTCCATTAGCGGGCACGTGGCGGCTTCCACCTTTAGGATCTTGTGAGCGAAGCTGTGGCACGTGTGTGTGCACATTTTTACGTGGATGTGAGCTCGCCATTCTTCTAGGAGGGATCCGGCACTTTCTTGCCTGGGGTGCTCACGTGTGGCTGCTGTAGCCTCACTGAGGAAGTGATGCCCCAGGCCCTAAAGGTGCCTGAGGGTGGCCGAGGGATGGGGCTGGCTCCACAGACGTCCCCGCTGTGGAGCTCCGGATCGGGCACTCTTGAAGGTGATGTCTTCCTGGGCTGCTTCTCATGAGGGGCGCAGGGGGGCTCCCGAGGGCCGGAAGTTGGGGAGATGCGTGGATGTGGATGGTATGTTTGCTCTTGGACTGGTCTCCAGGGGTTCCTGCAGGTCCCT